TCAGAACACACATACACACAGACACACCCCACTTCTTGAATTTCATTATGATCGCTACCAGAATTGTTTGTGAAATAAATTTAAATTATATCATAAGATCTATCCTTGATTCTGAGTGTTAATGAGATGGAGGTGACTTTCATATCACAAATTCTTTTCAGATTTAACCTGTGTCTATTGGGCTTAAGCCAAACAGTATAAACAAGGTGAGTCATAATGGAATCTTTAGGAGAGGTGAAGGGAAAATGTTGTGGATGTGTAGTTTTTTTATGTTAAATTTGGAAAGAAGGAGAAACTGTCGTTTTTATAATACAAACTATAAAAATAAAGCTTGACTAAATCTTGAAAGATAGGTCTATATAGAAAATAATGTTATCAGAGTCTTGGAGGCAAGTAGAATAGATTTTCATATTTAGCAAAAGAGGGCATGCATAGGTTTCAAAAGTTTGAGAAACGTAGTGTGATTTGCTTTCCTAAAACTACCCTCCTGGCACTTTAAGAAATTTACCAAGGGCCCTAAAATTATGCAATTCTGTTTTAGCAAATAATTCTAAGTGAATTATCAAAATGGTCATAGATTTGTGCACAGGAATATTAATCTCAGATTTATTTGTACAGTCATGCATCAGTTAACCGGGGTACATTTTGAAAAATGTGCCATTAGATGATTTTGTCATTGTGCTAACATCATAGAGTGTACCTACACAAACCTAGATGGTATAGCCAACTACACACCTAGGCTATATGGTATTAATCTTATGGGACCACGGTTCTATATGCAGTCTTGTCGTTGGCCCAGACGTCATTATGTGGTGCATGGCTGTAATTGTGAATATTTAGGAGAAAATCTATGTCCACAAAAGGGAAGTAAGTAAATAAATTATATATATCTATCTAAGAAAATTGTATCCAGTAATTAAAAATCATATTTTGGAAAAATATTTAATGCCATAGTAAATTAAGGGTCAGGATGAAGATAAAGCATAAAGTGGTAGTGATTCACTATTTAAGGAAAAAGACACGCTTATTCATAGAAAAACTTTGGAATCAGTACAACTACTTTGGAGAGCAATTTGGCAGTAAAGTTGAAAATGTGTAGACCATACAACCCAACATTAATATGATTGATATACCAATAGATGAATAGTTGTATAATCATGTGATAGAATACTATTCAGATGTTAAAAATTAATGAATTGGGGGCCTGCCCGGTGGCGTAGTGGTTAAGTTCACGCGCTTCGCTTTAGTGGCCCAGGGTACATGGGTTCGGATCCCAGGAGCAGACCTACACACTGCTTATCAAGCCATGCTGTGACAGGCATCCCACATATAAAGTAGAGGAAGATTGGCACGGATATTAGCCCAGAGCCAATCTTCCTCAACTAAAAGAGGAGGATCGGCAACAGATGTTACCTCAGGGCTAATCTTCCTCACAAAAAAAAAAAAAAAAAAAACAATTAATGAGTTGGATCTATATATCTGTACCAGAAATAGATCTATATATCTCAACAGAGATAGCTCTCAAAACAATGATGAATTTAAAGAAGGAAGTTGCAGAATGATATATAGTAGTATTTATGTAAAATTTTAAAAACGTATAATAATGCCAAATGTTGTTTACATGTACACATATGGCGCATAAACATATAAAAACATAGCCTGGAAGGATACAGACCAGAATCGTGATTATGGTTGCCCTTAGGGTGGAAGGGAGGAGAATATTACTAAAAAGAGAAATGGGGTGTTGATGGGGGATAGTATTTAACTTCATCTGTAATATTTTCTAAGTCTTTTATTTTAAAAAGTAAGCAAAACTGACAAAATGCTTACATTGTGAATTTGGAATAGTAGTTCATTGTTTATTATATTAAACTTCTTTTTATGTGTGCTTTTAAGACTTTCTAAAAACAATGATTAAAAGAAGGTACATCCGTGTTTGCAGTGGTTATATTCAGCAATGAGATTACAGTTCAGTTTTTATTTTTATCTTCAAATTTCTCTGAATTTTCCAATTTCACAAAATGATTGTTGAGAAAATCAGTGCCACTTACACATATATAAATGATAACTATATAGTTACTCGGCCTCTGCTCTATGAGGGGTTCCTAAGGCCCTTATAGTTGAGCTGCCTCTAGAAGGATGACATGTCAGCAACAAAAGGATGACCCTCCCAGGGACAAAGGGAAGTGAGGGCTGGCTGCCCACACGGTGTGGAGATCTAAAACCCACCATGTCCTGGGAAGAGAGGCAGGGACGTTAGTCTAGGCTAGTGGGTCTCAAACTCGGGCGTGCATCAGAATCATTTAGAGGGCTTGTTAAAAAACATGTTGCCCCCTAGAGTTTCTAATTCAGGAAATCTGAGGTCAGGGTTGTGAATTTGCATTTCTGACAAGTTCCACTTGTTATTGATGATAATGATGCTTGTCCCAGGACCACGCTTTGAGAACTGCTGGTCTAAGCAAAACCCAGCCATCAGATATTTGTATTTTTGATTACTGAAATGTAAGGGAGACATTTGGCAGGAATCACTTTAATGTTATTATCTGGCAGATCCACAAATTACTTAATGGAGCAACCAGCCAGTCTCGGGGAAGTTGGAGTCACATGCAGGAGCAGACAGACCAAAAAAAATAGGCATCAAATGGTCAGAAAGCTCAAAAGTAGGGAAAATGAGAGCTGGTCCAATCTAATGATCAGAGACCACTGAAGAGATTTCTTTAGGAAAAGCAGGGATGAGCTTTTCCTCATGAGCATGAATGAGCATGAAAATGAGCATGAGCATGAATGAGCATGAAATGGGACTGTAAAAAAACAGGTTCAGTCATCAGGGTCTGTTGCTGTTTGATAAAACCGGGAATCCAGGAGGGCACAAAATTCATATCTCTTTCACATCTTTCACTATTACTGGGTACTGCACTAGGCGGGAACTTCTTAAGAAAGAGAGACTGACCCTTCCTTGCTCTCTCCATCCTTTCTTGTCCTCCCTCTCTCTTTCTTTTCTGTTCTTCCGCACTGAGCAGCTCTTTAGTGCCAAACATTACACTGGGCTTTGGATAAAGTAGTGTCTTACCATCTTTGTACTCCAGCACATAGCACAGTACCTAGTACATAGTAGCTGCTCACTAACTGTTGAACGAAACATGAATAAACACATACATGATCAGCAGAGGTCATGGTTAAAGGTGCAGTGAGTGGAAGACAGAATTAGGATACTATGCCGGCAACTGGTCATTTCTGTGAGAAGCACAGATACAGTGGAGTGGGCCCAGCATTGCAGATTACCAGCTTGAGACACCATTGGGAATGTTACTACTTGGCACTTTTCTTTATACCCCAAATTTTTCCCAATACATTTTTGCTACTTTTCTCATTGCCTGCCAGTGTTTCTCACACTCGTACCCATGGTTCCTGACTTGTAGGTAAATGAGTATACTTCATTATAACACCTGTAACCTGTCTCAGGACTGAGGCTGCAAATAAGGCATATGTTGAATACATGATGCCTTTTACTATAAGGCATTCTCCTGCTTTCCCAATGAAGAGATCCAAAACAAGGTTTGAGGCTAACAAATATATAGACTTTTAGGAATGTAGCTTAAGTAGTTGTCTATTTACACTGTTTAATTTTTCGATTAAGTTATATGTACATATTTAAAACATATTATCTAAAATAATTTTTATTTAAATTTTTTGAAACAATTTGAGTACTTCTATATGAATCTTAAGTCATTTAACACAGTTTTCTGGAGCATATCACCTTCACTTCCATTTAAGTTGTTTGAGATATAGCATTTTTTAATCTGGGGATGATGCTATCACTGTTAAGTTATTATTACAAACAACAAGTCCCACTCGTATAACACTACAACAGTTTTTTTCATTCACCCTTAGTGTAGTTTCACAAGTCCCACAATGTAATCACACACTATATGTTAAATTGATTATAAAAAGACTGTTTACGGCAACCAATAATGCTAGCAACTGTGACATCACTTTCTCCACCAGGATTAAGTAGTAAATCTTTTTTAAAATTTATTTGCCATCTTTTTTTATTTAATAGTTCCATTGGGGCTGGCCCGGTGGCGCAGGCGGTTAAATGTGCATGCTCCGCTGCAGCGGCCCGGTGTTCCCCGGTTCGGATCCCGAGCGTGCACCAACGCACCACTTGGCAAGCCATGCTGTGGCGGCGTCCCATATAAAGTGGGGGAAGATGGGCACAGATGTTAGCCCACGGCCAGTCTTCCTCAGTGAAAAGAGGAGGACTGGCAGTTGTTAACCCAGGGCCTGTCTTCCTCACAAAAAAAAAAAAAAATAGTTCCATTAAGATGACCTCTTATAAGCATTCCACGCTAGCATTGATTGCTCCAGTTTCAGGCCAGTATATCTTCCCCAAACAGCACCTTGTGACTCAATAAAGGAATTAGGAGAGTACCCCATAATAGAAGGGAATTAGTAAATTTGACTATAAAGCACCTCCCACCCTTATATTCAAGAACGGTGGGGAAAAACCTTTGCTTATATTTGGAAATGTACTGTAAGTTTGTTTCCTTTTAATTTTTTCTTTTTAAAAAAAGAAACCTTTTCTTCTTTAGGCCAATATGATGATTAGAAAAGTAAATTATAGGGTTATGCAGAATTAAGGAGTGATCAAATGTGATTGGATTAACACACAGCTTTTCAGTTGTCAGGTCATGAGAAGTGATAGATATATTTTTATTGTGAGTTAGAAGGAGGTTGTATGTGTGTGTGTCTAATGCCATAATTGCGGGTCTATCTCTAGTAGTTAGAAAGTTGCATGTGGTGAAGAGGAAGCAAATTGGTTCAACTGGAGTAAGTGGATCAAGTTGGAAGGAGAAAACAAGTTGAATTTGACACGCGATTTTGACAGCAGAGAATATCAAAGTGGTTTGGTACACTTAGCAGTTATTCTGTTTTTACAAGTGTGCAGTTTCTCTGTTTTTCAACATTAAATATACAGTTTACATATTTACACGTTTCAGGCTACATTATTGGAATTTTGAAGACATGAAAACATCAGATGAACCAGCCTGCAACATCTTGAATTCAGATTGGAAGATGAAGAGAAAGTTTAAAGAATGTGGCCTATGAAGGCGGGTAGTACCTGGAAATATTAACCAACTCACACTGTAAAAATGAGACCCATTTCTAAACATTAGAGGTTATTTTAGTCCAACGTCAAAGTTCAAGACAAAATGTTGAACTAAAAACTTTATACTCCTCCCCTCCCCCACTTCAGACAGGTACCAGCATTGTTGAATATGATTTTCCTTAGTCAGAAACACTCATTTTTACCCATGTAGACCATCCTTAGGAATTAAATATTGGTTATTTAATGTAGATTATAATGGGAGACTGATTTTTTCCACAATGGCAGATTTCAAGGACTTGGTTCCAAACTGAGCCGAAGCTTCCCAATGCATTTTGTACAGTCTGGGAAAAACTGTGCTGCATTGGCCATTTTTGAAGGCCATCATGCCCTGTAATATAAGGATATCATCTTATTGCTGATATCTTTGGAGAGTCCCAAGCAGACACAGAAAATGAATGGAGGCAAGGAATGTGACGGAGGGGACAAGGATGGAGGTGTTCCAGCAATACAAGTTCCTGTGGGTTGGCAGCGTCGTGTGGATCAAAATGGAGTGCTTTATGTCAGGTGAGCCCTTATTATTACCTTTGTTACCTCCAAGTTTGCAGTCCCCAAAGTAAGGAGGCAGAGTCTGTTCTTCTTTGAGGGAAAAAATATCGTGACTGACAGCATCTCAAATAAATTTGATTCAATGATCTTCGAGCTAGAAATGTTTTGAGTTTTTTTATTCTGTACTATTTTGCAATGTAAATTGCCTTAGGTTACCAGAGAGAATTTTTGTGCATTACTTGTGTTTGTATAAGGTGTCATTCTGCTTATCTCTGCAACAAGGATAAAGAAAAATATGAAGTTTTCTAAAAGAAACATATAAGCATCATTACCACATTCACAGGAGAATAAAATACTGGAAATAGACCCAATGTCTCTTGACAATATTATTCTGCCTTCATAGTGCCTCAGCTTGCTTTTCTAATGTAAAGTTGTGTATTTTTTATCTGTAAGTAGTTTCAATTATTAGACTTCTTAATACCTGATATTAACTAAAAATAATTTCTGTATTTTTCTGCACAGTTTTTTAACCTATTCTTTTGCATATAACGGTAAAAAAGGAAAAGTCATGTTGAAGATGGCTCGTCATCTCACAAGTAAAAATTATACAAATAAAACACAGATGCCTGCTCTTTTAACTTTTGATGGCATATGTCTCCTGTAGAACAAGTTGAATGGAATCACTGAACTGCTGGCAAGAAGTTTTAGTCTTTAATATTAAATAATTGGCACCTAAGTTCCTTACTTTAAGTTTTTCAGTAAGTATGTGAAAGGTTAGGATACCATAAAGTTTTCTTTGTGATGTAATAAGAAAAAACTATTGGAAATAGACTTAAACTTTTTAAAAGATATCACACTGCATCATTACATTAATGCTATTAACTTTCAATGGGGTTATTTGTATCCAAGCTGCAACGGACTTCTCCATTTGTGCAAAGATGTATTTATATGAATGAGGTATTTTCCATTATAGAGACACAAACAACTTTATGCCATAACAACTCAGAAAGTCAGTTCAGGTTCTATCCTGGGTTGGTTGGTTTGTTTTGTGTAAGGTCTTTCTTGAGGTAAATTTAATTGAAATTCTTTTGCACATAAGTTTTTTTGTTTCTGTAATATTAAAGATGTGCTTGGTATTAATTGGAGTGAAGGGATAAGAAAGCAGGAAATGTGGAGCCGGTTCCATGGTAGATAAGATGGACAAGGACACATGGAATAACTTCCTCAAAGTGTTCCTATTGCCACTGCTGTTAACAAACTGCCAGAAATACTTTGTTATAAATATACTACAACAAGATGTCATTGTTATTATTCATATTTATGACTGTTCTGGTTTGTGAGGAGCAAATACATTCAGTTTAGAGCAAATGACTCTAAAATCTTGATTTTTGTATTTTTTTTTGCTTCGTCTTCATCTCTATGAAAGATAAATCAGCTTTTCAAATTGCTGAGAGTGAAGTTAAACCAAGTTAAGTCTGGGAATCTGCTAATTGTCTTGTTTATGATTTTCGAAGTCTGACTGGACTTCACTGTCTGTTACTGTGCGTTTTCCAAATCCAAATCTGTACACTAAGAATTATTTTGGAAACTAACTTTGCCAGATGAGCTAAGACCTTCAAATTAAATTAAGCCAGCATGGGCTTGATTTGTTTATCTATAACTGGTTAAATTACTGCTTAAACGTGTATAGGAGGCTAGCCCTCCTTCTATTGCTCCCTTCTCAATGTGCAGTTTGCTTGTAATTTTTAGGTTAGTCTCCAGCTGCTTCTGCCTCAGGGTGGCATTGAGGCTACACATTAAATTTCCCACCTGCTTCCAATCTTCTAAGCTTTATCTATGCCGTAAGACTTGTAACTATTTTTTATGGTAATTATTACTCCCAAAAGTTAATTAAAGAGCTACAACTGAAGGAAAGGACCCACTGACTGATTGAGAGGAAGTGTTTTTAAAGTGTCTAGAGTAAATACTCTAATAGAATTCAGGAATTCTTGTCCTCAGGTTTAATGTTACAATTAAATTCCTCTAGGATTCAGTCTGTACACTTTCTTTAACTGTAAAATGTTAGGCAGTTTCTTTTCATAAAATTCATGAATTGTTCACTTGATAACTGTTTGGTGATTTTGTTTTATCGAGATTAGCAGATCTCCAAAAACATCTTGTTGCCCCTACTGCTGGAGTGGAACTCAATTCTGTAATAAGGGAATTGTTATTCTTCATATATCATCTGAAAAAATTTGTTAGCCTAAATAAGTGAAGGAGTGAGTTGACAAAGTTGAGGATTTTAATTGAGATTTTCTACATGCATAAGTCACTTATATGATTGTCCATAAATAAAATACGAATTGCATTTTAAAACTGGTTATAGATACAAAACTACTACCTCTGTTTTTGTAGAAGCAGAATAGTCTATCCCCAGTAGTGTAATGTTTCGTATACGAAATGGAGAGTATTGTTTCTGGATAAATTTGATCCGAAAGCTTAAGTGAAGGTTTTGGTAAATAGATATTCCTGGTAAAATCTATGGTAAAAGATATTCTTGAATGAAAAGTATAGAATCATGTTCAAAGCATAATGTGCATTTAACTTGTAAAATCAATAGATTAATAATAAAAGTCCTAAAATGCAAATTGCCCATTCTAAACTAATCCTCATTGTAATTGAAAATCAAAGACTTATCCCGTCATCTGAATTAGTACCTAATCTGTAGGTGTGAGCTTGATCAGTATTCACATATCATACTGACTTTTGTGACCCGAAGAGTAATAACATTGAGAGCACTACCCAGTTACCAGCCAGAAGATCTGCAAGGCACCTTTCTGCTACCTAAAACCATTATTTCCTTAAGACTTCCCCATCCTTTGTCTGCTCCACTTGGCTCCTCTCTTCTTGTCAGTACGATTTGGCTCTTCAGTATAATTTGAGTTGGGCCACACTGGTCTAACTTCAAAGAACACATGGATGAGGGAGAAAAAAGAAAAACCTGTTTTTACATAGGGACAACTTGGTTCTAGACTTCAAGATTAAAGGGAAGAACTTGTTAGCTCCGACTTTTGTAGACATAGCAACTTTCTGGTTTGACCTCCAACGTGTTTCTAAATTTCAGTTTTTCCTCAGACAGCTTTAAAAGTAGATCTTCTAGTTATAAAATGATAATGATTACTTTCATGTAGTTTTTTTGTTCCTTTCTTGCCTCTTCTGTCCTTTCTTAAGAATAGCATTTTTACCATCCTTAGTCCACTCTTGGTTTTCAAAATAGTTTTATTTAATTTTCTATGAAGATCTGTATTTTTCTGAGAAATATTTTGGTTCGAAAGAAAGAGCAAGAGCGTTAAAGGCTATAATTTAGTAGCTAACATAATATTGACAAAGAAAATGCTTTTCCTTAGTAGGAAAATATCCTGTGAAGGACAGTAAGACTATAAATTATGCCTTTTTTTCATATAATATGTGCAGTCAGAATTATTTCCTGATGTTTTTTTAAACTATTTTTACAGTCCCAGTGGGTCTTTGTTATCTTGCTTGGAGCAGGTTAAAACATACCTGCTTACTGACGGAACATGCAAGTGTGGCTTGGAATGTCCTCTTATTCTTCCCAAGGTAACCATTTCACAATAGATCTATCAGCAGTTTTTTATTTTTTAGGTGTTTCATATATTTGCTTTTCTCATTTGGCAATTCATTTTTATATTACTTCTCCAATAATATATGCAGTTTAAAGTCTTTATCTAATTAGATATCTTTTGCATGCGTTTTGGAATGCTTAAAGATTGTAGAAAATAGTTCAAATCCAAGAATCATTTTCAAAGGTAACAAACCTATGTTTATATTAAATATTTCATTAAAACCTCTTTTGCACCTTTTTATTAGAGCTATACCTATGCTCACTATTTAATAGTGCAATATTTTCTTTCCCTGCTATAACTGCTCAATCTGCAATGTTGTTTTTAGCACTGGTGTTGATAAATCTGCCACAAACGTTTCTAAACTCACAAAGCTGAACCCTGCTAGCCAAAACATGAAACTGTTTTACTCCTTTGCAAGGTAAAAAGTAAAATCGTTTTAAATGATAAAATATTATTTACTATGGAAACAGGTCGTGTTCTCTGAATATCTATTATAGTGCTAATCTAAAATAGTTCTAAAAACTAAAGATTAATGGATAACTTTTCCTTTTTATTTGTGTGTCCTCTCATTCCACAAAGGCATTTGAAATAGCTTACAAGTATATACACAATAAATAAGATTTTTTTAATAAAGTAATAGATTTTTTTAAATAGGTTTAAAAGTAATATTAATAGAATAATAAAATAAAGCCAGAGGAAAAGTTAGCTTGTAGCAATGTCAGCTTTTAGAGTTTTTCAACTGTACTTTGTCTGTTTTTGTACTGTTATAACATCAGGAAGTATCTAAAATTGGGGACATTATCAGATATTATACATTTCCATATATTTATCTTGGCTATCTTAGAATTAGGATAATTTTCACTATTTGCCACTAAAATCCATGAGTTCAGCAGAAGTATTTATTAAGTTATATAAATTTGCTTTTCTTAAATTTAAAAACTTGAGAAAGTTTTATTCAGATTTATAGCTTAATCTATGCAAAACTTTTTTTTTAGCAAAGGGATCTTTTTATTTAACGGTTTTACAGACATATTCTAAACAAAGGCTATGCTTTTTCCAGGTGTTTAATTTTGATCCTGGAGCTGCTGTGAAACAGAGAACTGCAGAAGATGTTAAAGCAGATGAAGATGTCACAAAGCTCTGCATACATAAAAGAAAAATCATTGCAGTGGCAACACTTCATAAAAGCATGGAAGCCCCACATCCTTCTCTGGTGCTCACCAGTCCTGGAGGAGGAACAAGTATGTAATAGGGTGAAGGCTTTAGGAATGTCCCTTCCCCACTCCTCTCCCGGGGAAGGAGTTGCGAGAAATCACTTTGCCAAGCATTTTCTGAGTCCACTTTTCAAACACGCACAATGCTTTTAAAGTTATGTATGTTTTCTCATTTTATTACAAATAGCAAATTAGTTCTGAAAAATTCCTGTGATATTGTCTCCCAAAATTTCCTATCCAAACTGTCTAGTTAAACAAGCAGAATAAACACTAATTAGCACATACAAAATGTATGCAGGTATGTAGAGCTGGGCTTACAGAAGAGAAAGTGCCACTGATTTTTAGGAAACAAGTATAGCCTTTTTCCTAGGGCTGGATTGGAACATGTGGTATCAAGTCCTCAAATGCAACTAACAATGTTTTCAAGAACTAGCAGTGTTATTCTTTCAGTTATTTAATAGCCATTTATTAAACACCTACTAACAGAAATCACCTTGCCAGGAACTTTCTGTATGTCCCCCAACACACATGCATGCACACATGCTTTCGTTTTTTAAAAATTTCAAAGCTATGAGAAAATTACATGAACAGTTCATTGAGTACCCATGTACCCTTCACCTAGATTCACCAGTTAACATTTTGTTGCAGAAGTTGCAGATATTGTGACAATTCATCCCTAAATATTTCAACACACAAGGACATTCCTCTACATAAACCATAGTCTATCACATTCAGGAAATTTAACACTGATATAATATTATTATCTAATATGCAGTCTATATTTGAATTTCTCCAATTGTCCTAATAATTTCTTATTTTTTTTTAATCTAGTCTTTTTGAAATCCAGGATGCAATCAAAGATTGTGCGCTGCACTTAGTTGTTACATTTCTTTAATTTACGTCAATGCCCCAGTCTTTTTAAATCTTTCATGACGTTGACGTGTTTGAAGAGTCCGGGCCAGTTTTACAGGATGTTCCTCAATTTGGATATGCCTGATTGTTTCCTCATATTTATTCTCAGGTTAAACACATTTTGGTAGGAACGCTGCATACGTCATGTTACGTCCTCATTAGGAGGCACATAATATCAGTTTATCCCATGTTGATATCATTAAGTTTGATTGCTTAAAGTTATGTCCATCTGAATTCTCCGTTGTTAAGGTACCCTTTCCCTTTATGATTAATGTGTAATCTGTGGAATTATATTTCAAGACTAAGGAACTTCTTTTTGTAATGAGTTAGAATATGAACTCCCTCTAAATTACAATCTACTTAACACTTGAATAGTAATTCAGGATAAATATGCTAAGTGCCAAAGTATTTTTTTTTTTGGTGAGGAAGATTAGCCCTGAGCTAACATCTGTTGCCAATCCTCCTCTTTTTGCTGAGGAATATTGGCCCTGGGCTAACTTCTGTGCCCATCTTCCTCTACTTTATATGTGGGACGCCTGCTACAGCATGGCTTGATAAGTGGTGTTTAGGTCCATGCCCAGGATCTGAACCTGCGAACTCCAGGCCACCAAAGTGGAGTGCATGAACTTAACCACTACGCCGCTGGGCTGGCCCCCTGCAAAGTATTTTTTCTATGAAGAATAAGTGATATTGTTTTGCAGAGTTCTGAAAAATAGAGATGATGAGTGTAACCTGTAGTGATCAGAGAAGGCTTTATGGAAGAACTCAAGATTTGAACCGTCCCTGGAAAATGATAGGATTTAGACATCTGAGACAAAATAAGAAAATTCTTGTCCGGAATGAGTAGCATAATTAAGGGATGCTGTGGAACCTAATCTGACTTGAGTGGAAGATTAAACCTGTATAGGTAAATTGAGGCCAAATTATTGACAGCCTTAGATGCAAAGAGGAGCAGTTGCGACATAATACAGTTATTTAAAGATTCACACTTACAACTCGTGTGAAGAGGGCAGGGAGAGAAAAGTTTAGCAATTATTAACCGAGAGCTCCTTTCCAATAACCTTCTAACCTTTAAACTTTAACAGGAGTGATCAGAAAAAATTGCTCTACTAAGGTATGTAAGAAAAAAATCTTTTAGGGTATTTTTCTTTTTCTTCTCATGAGCTACATTTTTTAAGTTAAAAGATATTGTAACAATTTAAAGACATTTAATAGTAATAAATTATTTAAAATTTACCATTATCTTGCCACCTTGATGGAACTCTGTTTTCATTTTTGCATATTACCTTGCATGTGTGTTTGCCACATACTCTGCTGCTGTTCGCACATCACATTATACCAAACAATTGTACCTCTCTCTACAGAGTCTGCCTTGTCGCCCTTTTAATGACCTTAATAGAGTCGTCATCTAGGTCCTTTCTTATACCCTGTCTATAGAAGTTTCATTATTGAAATTAAAGGTAAATATTAAACTAGTGCAGGTGTAAGAAATATATCGCTATCCCCTTTTAAAATGGTATACTTTATTGGATTAATTGCTACTCTTTTACTAGCTTCACACATAGCATTTATTTCAATTTTCTAATTTTAAACTATGTTTAAAGGTTCAGCTTTAAATAATTACAAGTTAAGAAGACTCATATATTAGTTTTTACCTCTCTTTATTTTACAAACATAAACATATATTTAGTTTCTATTTATTCTTTCAAAGAGTCAACTTGAATATACAGGAAAGCACTTGATGAGTGCCGAGTATTTACATTTGCCAACTCTTGTAATACTTTAGTTCCTAACTATAACAAAAGAGCAGCATGGCTTTTGTTTGTTTATTTAGTATTCCTGTTATTCTAAAAATGGTAAATATTTTTATCAAAGTATGGAAGAAATCCTTTTTACACCATAGCTATTTTCTAAATTTTATTGAATATAAAAAAATGCCAATGTCTATATTTTTTTAAATTATTTTATTGAGGTCATAATGGTTTATAACATTGTGAAATTTCAGGTGTACATTATTATTTATCAGTTTCTGTGTAGACTACATCATGCTCACCACCAATAGTCTAGTTTTTATCCGTCACCGTACATATGTGCCCCTTTACCCCTTTTGCCTACCCCCTGATCCCCTTCCCCTCTGGTAACCACTAATCTGTTCTCTTTATCCCTGTGTTTATCATCCACATATGAGTGAAATCATACAGTATTTGTCTTTCTCTGTCTAGCTTATTTCATTTAACATAATACCCTCAAGATCCACCCATGTTGTTGCAAATGGGATGATTTTGTCTTTTTTATGGCTGAGTAGTATTCCATTGTGTATATATACCACATCTTCTTTATCCATTCATCAGTTGATGGGCACTTGGGTTGCTTGCACATCTTGGCTGTTGTGAATAATGCTGCAATGAAGATAGGAGTGCATAAATCTCTTTGTATTGCTGATTTCGTGTTCTTTGGATAAATACCCAGTAGTGGTATATAGCTGGAGCATATGGTATTTCTATTTTTAATTTTTTGAGAAATCTCCATACTGTTTTCCATAGTGGCTGCACTAGTTTGCATTCCCACCACCAGTGTATGAGGATTCCTTTTTCTGGACATCCTCTCCAACATTTTTTATTTTTTGTCTTGTTAATTATAGCCATTCTGACAGATGTAAGGGGATATCTCATTGTTGTTTTGATTTGCATTTCCCTAATAATTAGTGATGTTGAACATCTTTTCATGTGCCTCTTGGCCATCTGTGTATCTTCTTTGGAAAAATGTCTGTTCATATCCTCTGCCCATTTTTTGATTAGGTTATTGTTTTTTTGTTGTTGAGTTATATGAATTCTTGATATAGTTTGGAAATTAACCCCTTGTTGGAATATGATTTGCGGGTTGTCTTTTGGGTTGGAATATGATTTTGGGTTGTCTTTTCATTTTGTTCATGGTTTCCTTGCCTTGCAGAGCTCTTTAGTCTGATGTAGTCCCATTTCTTTTTTTCTTTTCTTTCCCTTGCCTGAGTAGGCATGGTATTCGAAAAGATGCTGCTAAGACTGATGTCAAAGAGTGTACTACCTGTATTTTCTTCTATAAATTTTATGGTTTCAGGTCTTACATTCAAGTCTTTAATCCATTTCAAGTTAATTTTTGTGTATGCTGTAAGATAATGTCTACTTTCATTCTTTTGCATGTGGCTATCCAGTTTTCCCAGCACCATTTATTGAAGAGACTTTCCATTCTCCATTGAATGTTCTTGGCTTCTTTGTCAAAGATTAGCTGTCTGAATATGTGTGGTTTTATTTCTGGGCTTTCAATTCTGTTCCATTGATCTGTGTGTCTGTTTTTGTGCCAGTACCATGCTGTTTTGATTATTATAGCTTTATAGTATATTTTGAAGTCAGAGATGGTGATGCCTCTAGCTTTGTTCTTTTTTCTCAGGATTGCTTTAGCTATTTGGGGTCTTTTGTTGTTCCACATAAATTTTAGGATTCTTTGTTCTATTTCCATGAAGAAGGTGATTGGGATTCCGATTGGGATTGCATTGGATCTATAGATTGCTTTAGGTAATATGGACATTTTAACTACATTTATTCTTCCAGTCCATTAGCATGGAATATCTTTCCATTTCTTTAGGTCTTCTTCAATTTCTTTCAATAATGTCTTATAGCTTTCAATATATAGATCTTTCACCTCCTTGGTTAAATTTATTCCTAGATATTTTGTTGTTGTTGTTGCTATTGTAGATGGGATTGTCTTCTTGACTTCTCTTTCTGCTAGCTTGTTATTGGAGTATAGAAATGCAACTGATTTTTGTAGTTTTATTTTGTACCCTGCAACTTTCCTGTAGTTGTTGATTATTTCTAAGAGTTTTCTGGTGGATTCTTTAGGATTTTCTATATATAAAATCATGTCATCCGCAAACAGCGAGACTTTTACTTCTTGCTTTCCAATTTGGATCCCTTTTATTTCTTTTTCTTGCTTAATTGCTCTGACCAAAACCTCCAGTACTATGTTGAATAGGAGTGGCAAGAGTGGACACGCTTCTCTTGTTCCTGTTCTCAGAGGGATGGCTTTCAGTTTTTCACCATTAAGTTTGATGTTGGCTATGGGTTTGTCAAATATGGCCTTTA